GTATTTTATATATATATATATATATATATATATATATATATATTTGAGGTTGGATATAAGTTATAACGATCATAGTCACTTATAGATGTATGGTTTGTTGTTCATCATATCATCCAACGAATCGATTCATGTACACCGAAAGAAAAAAATATTTGAAAAGATTACGCGCCAAATTTGCGCGCGGATAAATTAGTTTGTATGCAAGATGTTAATTTAGAAAAACAATAACGTTCGAAAGTGATTTAAAATGTACACGCGAAAATTTGGCGCGTTGATGGAAGTATTTTGAGAATTACTTTATATGCACGTACAGATAAAATAAACCGTGAAAATTAAAAGATATAACGTACGTATCGAATGTTTCTTTCATCGGAATGTCATCTCTCTATATATGATCATAAAGTTTGATACATATATATATACTCAAGACTAGCAATACTTGAGGTGATAATTTTCAAGATATGATAATGTTCTATATGATTACATGATCAACTCAAATGATATATATATATATGAACGATTTAGGATCGTTTTAACATGGATTAATATTTCTTTGTTTTGTTGCATATGTAAGTATTGGAGGTATCAAGGTGGAAGCAGCTTGTCGTGAATTACTACAAGCCATCAAAGAAACGGATGCAGAAAGGTGCAATATGCAATTGCCCAATAGCATATATTATTTGTAAATATATCTGTCTTTTTTCATATTCGACCGTTTATGATATCTGTTATGTGAATTTTTGCAGATGTTTGACATTTTTAGAGAAAGTGAAGATGGAGTACATCAACCTTCGTGCAAATCTCGATATCCTTGCCCATGTAAGGAGCTAATCTTGATTTTCATTTCTCTTATATGGAAGACGGATCTGATATTAATACGACTTAAAAGATGCAAGATATTAGTAATTTAGATTTATTGAGGCTCACATGTAAATTCAATAATAAATGAACTCTCATTAAATTTATAAACATCAGTTTAAATAATTAAGGTTAATCTTTGTGGAGCTAAACACACGTGCCCTTATTCTACTATTGGAGATCCATCCATATATGTATCATCAATTTCGTTTTATTCAGTACTTGAATAATTTTTTAGGAGATTGTCGATATTTATTTATTTATTGGTAAATGGATAGATGCGAAGGAAAATCCTCGGAGAGATCTAAGGTGAAAGGAGAAGGGCAAGGGAATGGGATCCAACAGACAAGAAAACTATTATATTAAGGTTGCATGGATGATTGTTAGCTCGTCATATATCTCTGTGTAAGCCTTATCTATATATACATATATGAGTTGGAAATGTTCCGTTGACGAAGGCTTTATATATCCAAATTTCTTAATCTTTAAATTCAATCTTCTTATTATTTTTCTCAAACAATCACGAATGGATTTCCAATCTGTTAAAAAAAAAAAAAAGTGAATTAACAACCTAATTGTTTCGATACAAAAAAAAAAAATTATAAGGAAATTAATCGCATTTTTAGAACGAAACGCAACATTTTTTTTTTAAATATTTTCTTATTTCGAACATATGTTATATTTTTTTACAAAAACGAAATGATTGTATTCATATGAAATTTTCCATAATTGCAAACTCCTTTCAAAATTATCAGTGAGAAAAATCGGTACTCTTATAAATTTATAAACTAATCTTTATACTCATATAAATTTTGCATTTTTTTTCCTAATCTCATCAGCAAACTTTCTAGAATTTGAAACTACGGGTGGTCATTTAAAATCAACAGTAATAAAATCTTTTCTCCAATGCACCAAAGCAATAGAACAATGGACCAACTCCACTATGAAAAGGGCATCTGACAGTGGAGATATTTTATGCAGATCCAATTGTAATTCATGTAGAGAAACCACAGCAGCCATTGTTGGATAGACCGAGGAGGAAAAAAAATCAAATGAAGAGGAGGAAAACCAAAATGGAATTGAACCCACCTTTCCTTGAACCCAACAAGAACCCTAATACCTCAAAGAGTCTGAAACTGAAACACTTCAGATTGCATCTAAAGAAACAATGCCAAGGAGCACAAGTCATCACCACTTATTGGGAGGAAGATGCCAGCAACAAGGAATCCAATTGAAGTACAATGCACTAGAGAACAATGATATGACTATTTGCAGCAAACATTCCAAGACAAATTGAATGGAGAATCTCGGAAATGCAGTAAGCAACACAAAAGGATTGCTGCACAAACGGAAGTGACGAGGAGAACTGATTACTTGGGCAGGCCGGTTTCGGGATCAAGAAGCGCGTGGGTTTGATCGTGAAGCACAATAGGACCTCTTCCAGGTCTGGTGCAGATAAAATAGCTCACTTCCCCTTCTTTCATTTCTGGTGGATGAGGCAGACCTTCCACACCATTTGCTCCTTCAAATCCAGCCTCTTGGAGAATCGATTTATCACCTAAGACGTAACTGAGAGAGAGAAAGAAAGGAAATGGCAACATTTATTTGTCAGACGGCAAAGACAACTCTTCTTCCAAAACATAATTACTGTTTTCTAGTTTTTTTCCACGCTCAAGTTAACTCAGGAACCTAAGGTAAGCGATCATAGAGTTTTGTCTCACCTATTCATATCAGTGTCAGGCTTTGGGGGGAAGCAGAAGAGCAGCTTCTGAAGCAATTGAACTGCCACCTTTCTATTGGGTGCAATCATGACAGCATTTGGCCCCGCATCAAAAGTGTAAGCAACCTGTCCCGTTTATAATAAGAACCCATCAGCCAATTTCGCAGCAGAGTCAAGATAAGAGGTAGATCAGTCTCACTTTCTAGGTGGAATACCCAAATCCAATTCAAAAATTGAAATCCATAGTCCGCTGATGAGATTGACCCGCATGTCAGGTGAAACGTACTAAAAATTATAAGGCAGTACAGGCTTGCAAACTAAACATCCATACCTGAGGGCTCCCCTCAGAACGATTCCACTTTTCGATTAAGCTAATTAACCTGGAAAACAGTTAACAGCTCTTCAATATCAAGACTCTGAGAGCTAACTATAAATACAACCAGCAACTGCAAAGAAAAGAGTTACCTGTGGGAAGTGTCATTCATGTAAAATATGGGAGGAGATGTATCTAAGCAAACAGCGTGAAACTGATTACTGTCAGCGCATGTCAATTGTGCAAAAGATGCAAAATCACGATTTTTTATGGCTTCTTCCATTTGCAAAACACGTTGAGGCACAACATCCTGAAATATCAACAAAACAGAGCAACAAGACAAAGGGTCTTATTCTTTAAAGATCCTTTGATATTTTTCAGTGGGCTTCCTCTTGCCCACCCAAACTCAGAAATGAAGAACAAAACATTGAACCTTAGTTACAACACGGTTTCAGATTCAATACATGCTCCCTGAAATCAATAAGTGTTGCCTATAGGAATTACAGTCTTATCAATAAACATCAAGACCAAAACGTACCCTTGCTCTATGCTGTAAGAGCAAACTTGTCTCAACACTCTCACGCATTCCTGAAGTGCTGCTTGTTTCCTTCTGCCGTGAACTCACCTGGTTTAACACAAGCAAAAAGAGTTACAAGGAAAATAGATGCAGATAAAATTGTGATGGGAATGATTCAGAACAGAATAACATCAAATACTTCAAATTGTAAAATTTGCGGTGCTTCTAGCCTGTCTTCGCCATGGTTATGACACAAGAGGGTGCATAGGGTGGCGCAGCCTCTGCTATTATAGCAAGTCAAACTGAGTCACAGAGGATACTTATCCAGACACGTTGTTCATTCAAATCGTAGCACAAAGGGAAGTGTTAAAGAGAACTAAAAGAGCATGATGGCATGAACAAGAGATTGGATAACAAGATTAATTCAGATATAAAAACTAATAGTCAATTGTATTAAAGATTTGCAAGATGCATACCACAGCAATGATGATAACAAGATCATTCCAGTGCTTCTCATCTGTCAGTTGAACCGCCAAGCTGTCAGTTCCATCTTCTTTGTTTCCCATAGTCCACTTGACAAATCCACCAAATAAACTGCGGCAGGCACTTCCTGAACCTTGCCTACATGGAGAAATGAAAAATTACCATATGCAAGTGCCACCTAATTTAATGTAGAACCCACAACCAGACATACTCGAGCATCAATGTTCAGAACAACACACGGGACTTTCAGAATACAACTGATGCATAAAAAATAATCATATTGAACAGAAAATGTATCAAACAGCAGCACATAATATGGAAACGGGAAAAATACTAAATAACACGATAAGATGAAACTATAAGGAAAACAAGTAGCATAAGCCTTACCTGGCTATAGCAGAAAGTTGGCTTGGATCTTCATTTACATTCATCAACTTTGAAAGAGCAAACACTGGAAAAAAGATAGAGCAGTTGACATATACTGTGTTTAGTTATTTTAAAAATGCATGATCAACCGGTAAAAAACTAGCAAGTTCCTTTACAATTATAGGCAAGCATAAGGGGCAATGTCACCTAAAAGTAACAAAACCAATAACCTAAATATTAAGATAGGACGAAAAAGCCAGAGAGAGAGAGAAAAAGATAAAGAGAACAGTGTTCCATTTGCCTACGAAAGGCAATGTACTATATTCCCTCCGTTATTCATTTTCTTTTCTTTTGCCAATGTTGCCTTGGATGTAGGACTTCATTTTAACAAAGAACAGTGCATTGAACTACAGAGTAGAGAAACTACGCTAGACAAGAACAAACCAGAGACTGTCATGCAGTCCCCATGTTAGACAGCCAAAAACCTCTGTATCAGTGTATCTACAGAGTGAATATATCATGAGGTTCCTCCAATATTCCTTGGTAATTAAAAGAGTCCTAAATATAGTTCTGATGCCTCCATGTTAAGCTACGACCCAACAAAACAGAGTAAGAGAAATACCTAGACAGGCAAATCCAGCAGCTGAAGATGCTAAGCCAGCAGCAGTAGGGAAGTTGTTATAAGAAGCAATGTGTAGATGCAACTTCTCCCAATCTTTCTTTTCAATCTTGATACCCTTTTCTTTGTCTTCGACATCACCAGCACGATTTCGAATTTCCCGTAAACAATTCTGGTACCTACTTCCGGAAAGGGAGATTTCCTATACTAACCATGGGGGAAAAGATAAAAAGAAAACCCATGAACCAAACCACTTGGAATCATCCTTTTAAACACAGACGCCCAGTTGTAGATTAGCCAAAAGAACCCTACGCAACCGAAACTAGCTATTAAGTATTTCAAGTTGGCATCTTTGAAGTGTTGAGATAAAGAATGAAGCAAACGACATTGAACCATTTTCGCCAATCCTTCCCAAGTATACATCATGAGTTCCTCCATTTATGAACAGCATTATAAGATCGTTCAATTCTACCCAATAAAACCATAGAAGCACACCTAGGGGTACAGATTCAAAGATCAGAGCTCAACAAAAATGGATCATAGGAAACTCTGAAGAAGTACCTTGCCATTGAGCCACATTTGATCGTGATCAAAAGCGGGGCTAACGGCGACGGTGGTGACGGTGCAGAGATGATCGGGATCAAGCGTGACGCTAATGCTATCGTTGATGGGTAGGATACGAGCCTCATCTCTCTTACCCCAGTACTTGATCACGGCGATGTTAGTCGGCGTCTGCGCCGTCACCATCACAACCCACTGTTTCTTCTCCGCCATATCCGCCGTCAGTTGAGATCCCAAACCCTAATCGCTTCGTCTCCGGAGATTAGAAACTGCAAAATTCTCAAATCGAAGGAAATGAAGAGGCGGAGAATTCGAAAGAAAGGAGACGCATCGCTGAAGGGGATGTAAGACAGGAGACATTAAATAATTAATATTTTGTCAGATTAGAAACGTTTTATTAATTTATTTGGTGCCCAAATCAAAAGCTAAAAAGGTAAATTACAAAAAAGTCCAAACTTTTAAGAGTATTTTTAAATAGCCCTTTTATTCCTAAGAATACCTAAAATGCCCCAAATATCTTAAATAAGCACAGCAGAGCCCAAGATACACAAAATTTTTAGGCATAGTATGTTATGAATAATTTTCCATAAAATATCTCTATTTTCGTTCTCACATTTCATCTGGAACCGAAAGTGTTGAAAGATATAGATGGATTTTTTAAAATCAGAATTTAGAAATAATGAAAATTGAATAATCGTAAACAATTATTTGACGTAAAAAATCAACATTTCAACGTTTTAAGAAATCTTTGGTTACAAAATTATTTAAATTTTTATTAAAAAATATGGAGAATTATGAAGGAATTAAGGATTCCAAAATTCTCTTACGCTAAGTTTGGGATTCTTTTACGAATTTCTTTTATTTTTTTAAATAAGATTTGGAGACCAAATTGTACAATTTTGTATAGTTTGGGGGTTTTATTCGAAGTTCATAGTGTTGTTTTTGTTTTCTAATATCCTAAGCAAAAAACAATATTCAAAAACGTTTTTCTTAAGTCTTGTAATTATTAGGAACGTGTATCTCGCTCGTTTGAAAAGTCAACGATGAGACACTTCATCCGTAATGGTTAAACAAATGAGCTAAATCAGAATTTTAATCTAAAATAAATAAAAAAACTATCTAAAACCAAAATATATATCCACTGAGAATTATGATTTTGAATCTTTTAAATTTATAAAAAAAAATATATCTATTTGTTTGATATAAAATTAGTTTGGATTCGATTTCTATTCAAATGATTTATATTTAAATGTTTACTAAAAAGAATTATTTTTCAAAAATATAATTCGACGTTATATGTTTTAACAATTGTAGGTTTTAATTTTCATATAAAATTCAATTTACATATAACTATAGTTTATTGGATTCAATTTTTTTTTTTAACACGTATACATATTATATGCGTTGTGATGTGAATACTTACACATATTGAATAGTGAATACTGAGATAAAAACCACGATTTTCGCTGATATTTTTTTAAAAAAAAAAAGGAAAAGAAAAGAAAAGAAAGGAAACACGCAACGCAACGCAACACCGAGTCGCTGGAAGGGTCAAGGGGGGGCGCTAGGCTGGCAAAAGCGGTGAAGCACCACACCACCAGCACCACCACCTGACGAAGTCCTTCTTCGTCTTCTCTCTTTCCATGCATGATCAACCGGTAAAAAACTAGCAAGTTCCTTTACAATTATAGGCAAGCATTCTGACCATTAAGTCCATTTAAACCTCTCTTTCCCTTCTTCGTCTTCTCGGATATAATCCCAAATCTGCTCTCCTCGTTGTTGTTTTTTTCTTTCTCGGATGGCAATGGGGGTCGAAAGCAGAATGGATTTGCTCAGTGAAAGAGCTTTGATGATGAGAGAATCTCTTCAGAGGAGCCAAACCATCACCGACAACGTCGTCTCCATCCTGGGCTCCTTCGACAGCCGCCTCTCTGCTCTAGAAACCGCCATGCGTCCCACTCAGGTCTTTCCGAGCTCCGATCCTTTTGCAGATCTGGGGTTTCTTTGTTTCGTCGGATTTCGCTTGGGGTTTTGACTGTTCTGTTTGTTTTTTTTTGTTGGATCCTTAGATTCGCACTCATTCCATAAGGAAAGCTCATGAGAATATCGATCGGACCCTCAAGTCTGCTGAGGGTATATTGGCTCAATTTGATCTTCTTCGCCAGGTTTGTTTTATACATCCATGTTGCTCATCTTGCTAAGTGAAGTTGATATCTTGAGGAATTTCATATAATCTTGGAGAATCAGGGCTTAGATTTTAGTATTTGAGTTGCTATGTATAAACTAGTAGGTGTTCAGTCTTATTGCCCAGATTAAGATTGCATATCAGTAGGATAAGCTTGTGAAAAGAGGACCTAGATTGTGCTGGATCAAACCTTTGCTCAATCCTTGCTATGGCTTCCAAAAATGAGGATTAGTGGACTTAATTTCAACCCTTGAAAACCTTGGTTCATGATGTTCAATTGTGTGGATCTTAGATTTGGATTTGAATATCTGGTTGTTCTATATAAGTTTAGTAAGTTTTTTTGGTATTCATAATTCCATTAACTTAGACATTTCGTTTAGCTTGTGAAAAGAGGTCTTGATTGTGCTGTATATGCCTTGGTTCGTTCCTTGTAATGACCCACTTAAATTTGACTTAAACGACTTGATTTGAATCATTGATTTTTGTTTAGCAATATCTCTTAGTAGATCAACTTTCATACTCTACTGTTCCTTTAAACAAAAAACCTTTGAATGCGGGCTGCCAGCTTCAGATTATGAGATTTATGTGTTCTTTCATGTCATCTTCTTCACTCTGCATGATAAAGTAATAGTTTGAAAGAAACGGAGTTCTCAGTTATTGCTGGTAAGAGAGTGGGAGATTGGTCCTTTGCTTAGACCATGATGCTTCTTATTGGTAGGTGCTCCTTGTTTCCTGTGTTCAATCCTTAGAAAAACCCTGTTACCTTGATTTTCTAAGTTCCTTGATTTGAATTTATATGTCGTGAATATAACCCCAACAATACCTAGGATTTATATATGAAAGGTTTGTGCAAGTTTCAATGTAGGATTCTCTTACATACTAGGAAATGCATAGCTTCAACTGCATGGTTTATCTTGGAAATCTATCCATTTTTGGTTGTGGATCTAACTTGTGATTTCATACTTCCCCCTGAAATCATTTCTGATGGTGCTCTTCGTTCATTTCTAGGCAGAGACAAAAATTCTCAAGGGTCCACACGAGGACCTGGAAAGTTATCTAGATGCAATAGCTCAACTCAGAAAAAGTATTCGTTATTTTAGCAGCAATAAGACCTTCAAAAGTAGTGATGGAGTCCTGAACCATGCAAATGGCTTGCTTGCTAAAGCACAGTCAAAGCTGGAAGAGGAGTTTAAGCAGCTCTTAGCTTCTTACAGGTTTGTGCTCTTGTCCCTAACTGAAGGAAATCTCAAACATGGCTACAGATTGTGTAGATATACGTGTCCTCTGTCTCAAACTTGAGAATTACTGGAGTTTGATTCTTCTTATTAAGACCAAAAAACATGGTTCCATGCGCTGTCACATTGTGCACAAGATTCTTTGTGGTAGATACCTATTGTGGATTCGTATAAGAGTTTTCCTGTCTCGTTTCTCTTTTATGGTTTACAACAGTGGTTTTGAAAATCGATCTTGGCTATGCTAGAGCTGTTACTTTTTATCCTTCCATTTGTCTTTTATGTTCTCAGTAAAGCTGTGGAGCCTGATCAGCTTTTTGATGGCCTTCCGAATTCACTGAGACCATCCTCAGATCAGGATGGAGGCGGCAAAACTTCCCATTCCCACACTGATCATCATAACAATGACTCAGAGACTGCTTCTTACACACTTCCAACTCTCATTCCCCCGAGGGTTTTGCCGCTTCTGCATGATCTAGCTCAACAAATGGTTCAAGCTGGTCACCAACAGCAATTGCTAAAAATATATAAGTAAAATCTCAATGCAGCTCTTTCTCATCAAATCATGCGTTTGGAATAGGCTGTTTATCATCAAATCATGCTTCTGGAATAGTTTAGGTAGTATAAGTTTCGGCACGAGCTGAAGTAACTGATTGGGACATGTTTCCCGTGAAACATATGATCATACAATCAGTACACACTAAATGTTTCGGCATTCATTTACTATCAAGGTAGCCACCTCCAGATTTGTAGAAGGCGTTGGCTTAAAATTTAAGATCCTGAAGTCATTTCACAAGTTGAACTGGAGAGAATGGTAATGTAAATATGAATTTGCCAAACTTAAGTCACCAAAAATTTTTCTTGAGCCTATGATTTATCTGGTTGTAAGATGGGAGAAGGGATATGTTTTCCAAGTTGGAGATCGTGAAATGCTAAATCAAATGTTTCATCCACAGAATGTGATGCAGGGATTTTGTTTGTTCTATATGAAAATATGTGATACTGCACACATTGTCAGATTTGTATTCGCCAGGCATGTATATGTCATGGTGTTACATGTTTTGAGAAATATTGTAAATTTTTCCTATGTTTCATTGTTATTCAGAGAAACACGCTCGACTGTTCTTGAGGAAAGCCTACGGAAACTTGGAGTTGAAAAGCTTAGCAAGGAGGATGTTCAAAGGATGCAGTGGGAAGTTTTGGAGGCCAAAATTGGAAATTGGATCCATTTCATGCGCATTGCTGTAAGTATGCTGTTGGAAGTTCGAATAATATCTGACATGTGATGTCGGCTCCTGATTACCTGATGTATTTGAACAGGTGAAATTACTCTTTGCTGGAGAAAGAAAAGTGTGTGACCAGATATTTGGAGGCTTTGATTCTCTCAGTGATCAGTGTTTTGCAGATGTTACAGCAAACAGTGTTTCAATGCTTCTTAGTTTTGGGGATGCTATAGCAAGGAGCAAGAGATCCCCAGAGAAGTTGTTTGTACTTTTAGACATGTATGAGATAATGCGAGAGCTTCACTCTGAGGTACATTTTGACATTGTTCAATCATTTCGTTTATCTACCATACATATAAACAATAAGATCATGCATAATGTCAGTCATTTTGAAATTTGCGATTGTGTGAAATTATCTGTGTTCCTAGGCCGCACATTTTTCTGTAATTTCCTCTGCATTTTGCAACCACGGGACTCTTTTGTTGGAACCTTTATTTAATTATAATATATGACCTGGTGAGCTGAAATATGTACTCCAGAATCATTTGTGGACACTCAACTAATGTTTATTTTTCTACTCTTAGCATTTTCCATTTTTTTTGCCAAGATGTTACAGTAAATACCATGTAAACTACATGACTTGCATACCAAATACTTACGTTATAAGTGCATGTGATCGAATCATCGAATTTAACTTGAGCTTGGCCACCTAGACGACATAATATATGACAGCGGTTTTGTGCACAAGCTCATGAAATTTGTATTGTTTGACAGATGGAAGCAATTTTCAAAGGTAAGGCTTGCGTTGAAATTAGAGATTCTGCTATGGGCTTGACAAAGCGGCTGGCACAGACAGCTCAGGAAACATTTGGTGATTTCGAAGAAGCTGTTGAAAAAGATGCTACTAAGACTGCAGTTCTAGATGGGACTGTCCATCCATTAACAAGCTATGTCATCAATTACGTGAAGTTCTTATTTGAGTAAGTCTAGTGGATTACGTCTACCCTTTTGGTTGGTCAGGGCGACACATTTATTCTGCAACTTTTTCAAAGCCCGATCATACATTCTCTTAGCATACGTTCTCTTCTTTATTCTGTTCATGCATCTCATGAGAGCATGTGATACCATGGGATACACGTGTAGTTTTCTTTATTTCAATGTGTTTTTGTTAATTTTACCATTTATATTTCATAGTTATAACATATTATTATGTCCAGCATCCCATCTGTTGTAAATTCTCTGAAGAGGCTAAGCCTTTAGGGTTCCAGATTCATTTCAAATTCAGTAGTCACATATACACATAATGAATCAATTAGCTGGTAACTTGTTAGCATGTTTCGATTTTGATTGTCATTTGCATTGTGTGACAGAGAGAGAATATGTTCTTGCCATTTTAACGCTTATCGTTTCTTTTCCTGTTCCGCAGCTACCAGTCGACGTTGAAGCAGCTCTTCCAGGAATACGGGAACGGAGATGACTCAAATTCTCAGTTAGCTTCTGTAACGATGCGGATTATGCAAGCCCTCCAGAACAATTTGGATGGGAAATCCAAACAGTACAGAGATCCTGCATTGACACACTTGTTCCTCATGAACAACATCCATTACATGGTTAGATCTGTGCGCAGGTAAGTTATCTGTTGCATTTTCTCTTTGAAATACTTGTAGTAGTTAAATCAGCATCCGATTGATAACAATTGTTTATCGATGTCGTTTTCAGGTCAGAAGCCAAGGATTTGTTAGGGGATGACTGGGTTCAACGGCATAGGCGTATTGTCCAACAGCATGCAAACCAATACAAAAGGATCGCTTGGACAAAGGTGTGTGTATATATAACTGACTAAGAGCTTTGAAGAGTTCATATAAGATCTAGTTTTAAGCATAATATGTTCTACACTTTGTACTTGATGAGAAGCATTTTGCTAAGCACAATGACTAAATCACACGGAATAGGCAACTTTTGTGGATGGAATCTGTGATTATGTTAGAATCACATAATTGAAATCGAAAGTTTTTTTTTTTTGGTTGTAGATTTTGCAATGCCTATCTGCTCAAGGGTTAACCTCATCCGGTGGAGGAGGCAGTTCAGTGGGCGGTGATGGAGGAAACAGCAGCGGAGCTTCGAGAGGGTTGATAAAAGAGAGGTTCAGAAATTACTGGGAAAAGAAAACCGATCTATCACGACCGCAACTCTATAGTTTTTCTTTTTTTATGGTGACATAATCGAAGAAATGATGTGCATCAGGTTCAAGATGTTCAACATGCAATTCGAAGAGCTCCATCAAAGGCAGTCTCAATGGACGGTCCCGGACACCGAGTTAAGAGAGTCCCTGAGGCTTGCAGTCGCTGAAGTATTGTTACCTGCTTATCGATCATTCGCCAAACGTTTCGGGTACGCCCTTTTCGGTGATTAAGCTTTAATAAGCATTATTTAGAGAGAAAATATACATTATGAACAAGAACGCAAGTACATGATGGAGATGTGGTGTATAAAGATCGTTGGCTGGCGGATGGTTATATGATTTGCAGGCCGCTGGTCGAGAGCGGGAAAACCTCGCAGAAATACATAAGATACACTGCTGAGGATCTGGAAAGATTGCTGGGAGAGTTCTTTGAAGGAAAGACAGTGACTGAACCAAAAAGATAAATCTCATCATGAAAATGAAGATGAAACCCTTCTCTGTATGTATCCACCCCCCTTCTCGCATCTGTATTCGTTATGACCTTCCGAGTTCTGTCTCTGTAGCTTCTGATTTGCTTTTTCCGACCGTGTTGTTTTTCGTGGCTTTGGATGAACAAGAAAAGTGGTGTTACGAGATTGTGTTCGGTATGCGTGGCATATTACAACATGGTTGTTTCATCTGGTTTTGGCCATTCCCTCTTGTGCATTTTACACTGGTGTGTCCTATTAGAGTGAATATCTCAATATAGATTAAAAAATAATAATATCAAAGTGAGTTTTATAATATCTAAAGGAAAAATATTTACTTCATCTTTTCTCGAGATGATAAAAAATTTAGTAGATTTAAAATATTTTTAAGGTAGAGTTATATTTTTTTGTCAATATTTTAGATTTTTTTTAAAATTGCTTTTAAGTGTATTTATATCTAATTTTTAATCATTTGTAGAAAGTAGTTTGGTAAAATTGCTTTTAAATGTTCAAATAATGATTTGGTTCAAATAAAATTATAAACATTATAATAAAAAAAATTAATTTGTTAACATTGAATAATCTCATGGTATAAAATCTGAATTTGTTCAAAATTTTAGAGAACAAGTGTTTCAATTTGTATTTTTAATATTTTTCAAAAAATTTATAGTCCAAGGCCTAAAATATTTTAGATGACTTGGGTCTCATAAACAATGGCAGAGAAACAATAGTCCAAAGAAAAGAAAACAATGGCCATGACCCATGGAAGTTTATTAAATGGTCTTAAAAAAAAGTAAAATGGGCCTAAACGCTAGGCCCAACACAAGATAAACCACAAAGCCCAAGCCCAATCACTATGACCCCACGCCCCACACAATCTCAAACATCAGCCTTGCCTTTCGTGCTAAGCGCCTTAATATAAGCAACTTGAGAAGAATCACCGGTCTTAGTCAACGTCTTTAGCTCGTAACCCAACCAACACCTCGACCTTTTCCGGTTATAGAAAAACCCTAAACACTTGCAATCCTTCATACACTTGTCGCCGCAAGCACTTTCCGACGTGGAGGAACCGCCGTTGAATTTGGTCATGAAATGGTCAACGCCTTCCAGTTTGAAGTAATGGATCATCTTTGGGTCACACGTCCTTAATGTCGGAGCCATACAACTCTCGTCCCAACCCAGAAGACCCCTGTCGGTGGGACATGCATTGCATTGGTTCCTCTTACACAGACCGAACTCACCGCACCATGTCGGAATCCGACACTCGTCGTTACCGCTTAAGTCGCCTATCTTGAACGCCGTGTACGTCACGTCCCAGGCCGTGGACGACACCTCCGTGTTGTATTTTTAACAATACAAATTTTGTAAATGCTTCTCTGATGCATTTGACACCAAATGTTTAAGTGTCCATCCAAAAAACTATAAATTACAAAACCATTGGAAAATCACAACGGGGACAGTGAAACCATGTAAGACTGGTTGCAGTACTTGAAGCTTTTTAGTTGGCCTGACCGGAGCTGATGGCAGAACGTCGCTCCAGTAATGCCAAACACGTCGTTGGTTCGTCCTTTGCCTTCTACGGCTCGGGATTCTGGGTCGGTTTTCTCTGGAAGAGCTACGTTTAATCCATTTGAGGTTTGCTCCGTCACAAAACTGAAACTCCACATCAAACGGCAACATTAACATCTACAATGCTCTACAACCAATCTCTTGATTGAAAGCATCTGGTTTCATTACATAACTTAGATCCAGTCTGTGTCTTTGTTATATATCCTAAATGACTCATTATTGGGTTACCAAGACTGGGTGGGTATAATTGGATTTCTTTGATGAGATTCGGCATTTTGCCGAATAAGATCGTCTTTTTGGACTTACCTGGCTTCGAAGTCTCTTCCATCAGAACCCACAATAGAGCAGACATTACTAATAATCCACGGAGGAAGATATGCGCCCTTGATCTCGATCATACAGTAACGATCGTGAGATGTTGTTTTCCCGTAATCGCTGTCTTGTGGATACGTTCTCATAGGTGCAGCACCTGTATGTTCTGTTCTTACCATCTCTGTACACTTGATCTGGAGATAAAGATTGCATACTCTCAAACAGTTACAGTGTCACTAAGAATGGGGAATGTCATGACCTAAGAGGGATGACAAAATGACAGAAACCATACCATAAATGTAAGACTCACCTCGGGAGAGGACAGTGCGGCGTTCTGAAATGGCACTGGTGAATATAATACAGGAACATCGAGCGTGGGCAAAAATCCCAGAGACGACCTGGGCATGATCATTGGAAAAACCAAAGCAAACACCGTGAAAGTTTGAACATTGGAAGTTATTCTACTGTAAGCCATCACCAAATAAATGAAAGACTAATACCCACCTATAATTTAACAGCAGGTCATACAAGCAATGTATGCTCTCATTTCCGATAAAAGCCAACAAAGACTCTGGAGTATTATCTATGTCTGAGAACGAGCTTCGGTGACGAGTCTGCATAAGTAACCAGGAATCAGAAAAGTATTCCAAAATTCAGTGCAGATTCCAAGCTAATCGCACGGATAAAATCAGTGATGTGTCCTTATGCTTGTGATGTGTGCACAATTAAGAACAGGATACACAACAATTTGAAGCATCATCAAGCCACCTCCTTATCATCAACGGAAATCTCCTGATTCCAATATCTTTCACACAAATGTCGGGCTATGATTCGAATCCCAAAAGGACATAGTTTAAACAGGTGCACAAACCACATCATCTGTTAGGTATACATTTTGCAGTCGCATGTGTTTGTTACACATGGTTCAATCAACCACAGAGTGGAGCATTTCAAGAGAAACAGGATACTTAAGAAAATGAAGGTGCACAAACCTGGCCTAAGTTATGTTTCTCCATCTCTGAGAGTTCAACAAGATCTTCTGTAGTGACCTGCTCCATTTTACTTCGGCAAAGAGGCATGGAATAACTAATGTCCTATGGAAAACATATTTGAAGCAAAATCATACAAAGTAACGAAGATCAAGCATCTCAGAGTTCTCACAACACGACAAGGTAAACACAGATGATAATACTCAACCAGTATATTTCAGTTTACCATTGAAGTTAAACCTGAAATGTTTCAAGCATTGTTAGACGTTTGCAGGCAGTATACTATGAAGCTCATAGTTCTAGTCCAATCAAATGATCAAATATAACATGTCATTCAATTCATCATCTATAAATGGCCAGATATAGCTTGAGCACACTTTCCTATCAGAAGCAGCAGCCTCACTCTAGTTGATGCCCAATATTGCTAAGATTCTACTTCATTTCAAAGCCGCTGAACAAAGACATGCAACTAATCCACAAACATGTTCAGAAATACTATAGAGGCAGAAACCTATGTGTTTCCAGGATCTGCATGCTTCCACCTCTTTTAGTGATCTTAAAAATAAACACAGCCAGTTAACAGACTAGGTATGTAAGAAGGATCAAGAGTAAGCAAATGACTACAGATGCAGTAAATAAAGCAATAGAGCCCAAAGTCTGCAATATCTTTTTTAAAAAAAAAAATTGCACATTTTTTTACGTTCTAGTTGTTGGAAAAATAAAGAATATACAAAATCCTTATCACAATTGTGTACAAATTTGTTTTCTGCCTAGGTCCTGAAAAGAGACATCATATAGACTGGATCCTGTAGCGCGAAACACACATTTTCCTTTTCATTTTATATATCCTAGGTTCCCATCGGGATCAGTAGGGAGATTTGTATCTCTTGTTTGCTCTTCCAAGCATGGTCCATATCAAAGATTTTCCTGACAACCAAACTTAGTAAAAGAAAGATACATGTGACAAAAGGAGGGGAATCTTACAAGTTCTTTAAGCAAGGCTCTCAATCTTCTAGTTGATTGTGTGATATAACCATTGCATGAGCGCTTGGCACCCTCAGAGCCACCGTGAGCAGTAAACAATACCACAAACTGTGAAGTACAGACTGCAAGTTGAATAAAATGGATAATCAATTTCAGTTTCAAATTTAACAAAGCAAGCTATACATCAGGGGAAAGAAAAGAGAATGTCATATGTTATATAATAATTATCTTTCATGCATCTACGGTTACAGGTGTTAATTGACTTCCATGTGTCTATGCTTCTCAATGTAGAGCTAGAGTATCAATCTGTCGAGATTATGAATCTAACACAGACAACTTAACAGCAAAGTTTATGCTACACGAAATAGTGAATGAAGAACAAATGCAGCAGGATGCATATCTCTGTAGCAAACTTGACCACCAACATGCATCTGGTAAAAAGCAGTTAATACGAGATACAGCAGTATCTCGCACCGCAATTTGTCAGTGCATCTGACTTGTCTTCGCTAGGACCGAATGTTTTTAAGAAAGAGTTAAAATTATATCCAAATCAAGAGAAAAAAAATGGATTACCATAGAAAATGTTGCAGAGATTCTTTCGAAGCATAAAGTACAGACTTCGAAAAGCGTCTTCCCATGCTGAATGACGATCTCTTAAGAAATCAACTTCAGCTGAAAGCACAAAATGAGGATATTTTAGCACAATCTAAAAAGGAAAGATGGCAAAGAATAAAGCATAGCTCGGGAATTCTGATTAACAGACCCATGTCTTGTCCTGATGCTGCCAACGCTGAAATGATAAAGGGTGGCAGAGTGGATTGAGGATGAACCCATGAGTGCAGTGCTAAGGAATTCAGCACCTGGGGGATCACTGCAGACCCAGAACTACTGCTTGAATCATGATTTAACGCATTACCAGATGGCGATTTCAACTGAGGCAAGCCATTGTAGGTACTGCCCATGATTGACCTATGAAACCTAGAATGGCAAATAGAAACAAATAGACTGAGGCAAACTTAATAGAAAGGACCAATTTCAAAGCAGAGAAAGAAAAGAGGAAAAAGAGCACAGATCCAATTGTATGTATAGCAAATTTTACATCTAGCTTCATTGTCAAATGGTTTGAGTAAAAAATTACCAAAGATGCCAAGATGCCTGAGGAGAATCAAATACATTGAACTAACAATTAGCATTCTTGAAAGAAAATCAGCCACTACATGACTTTATTCTTACTAGTGCGACATGCTCAAGAATATTTGAAATAGCTCAAGGCTCACCATGTTACTGGGGAAGAGGAAACGAGTCTCATATATGTCTTCAAACATAGGTCCAGAGGAATCTTTTCCCCGGTTAAATGGAACTCAGACACGAAATTCCCACTTGGTGAAGGATTATCAGATTTCCCAGATGACTCGTCAGATCGCCCCAGCAATGGTTCACAAGTTGCCAGTGCTTTCAGTGCTTTGTTCTATTGAAAGCTGGCATCAGCTTACAAGGAACATGTAAAGAAAGAACCATCTAATGGAGATCAAAGATTACCAAATGAGCCATACCATATCAATAGCAGCCAAGCTTGATGATCCTTCACCACCAGTTGACAATTCCGTGACACTGCGAAAACTACTCTGGCTGCATTTCTCAACTGTTTGACAAAACTGGACCTTAACATCATCAGTAACTTCTGAAGCAGTATTGTCCTGTTCACTGCTGAGAAATTAAAGTAAAAAAACATAAGTTATAGGAAACATAGAAATTCAGCTTGCGCCAAAGCAATAATTCCATAGAGGAATTTTACCACACAATCTGTTGCCTTTTGTTGGCTGCAACATTTGTAATCAAAGAGACATTCTTTAGGCTATTGAGTTGCTCTTTCACATTGTTTTCCTGCAGCACAAACAAATGAACGAATTAACAAACACTGCACAAAAACCTAAAAGTATCATATCATAAATTTCAACAAAATCAATGTAGAATAAAACCAATGAAATCGGGAGTAAAAAAGTAAAATGAGTGATTGAGAACCTTGGAGTCTTCTTTTACAGAAGGCATCCAAGTCCTAGCCTTTTTGACAGGATACAATTCATCCATACGCATCTCTCTGTATCTGGGGTTCTTCAACTGTTCTTGTTTCTGGAGTTTATTATCCATTTCAGTAGCACTGCCAAGATAACCCCATCAACTACCAAGAAAAGTGTGAGTTCAAAATATGAAAAGCATAGCAATTCTAACCTTTTGCAACCCCGGAGCAGCACATCAAAAGATTCATTAGATTGGCCTTTCAAACCACTCCGCTTCAACTGCTCCCCCTATTGCAGCGAGAAGGAATTGATATTTGCTTTAGTAAGTTTTCAAGACAACCTACAACTCAATGAGGAAAGCACCACCATAACAAGTATAATACAGTATTGCTTCATTAAGCTAACCCACAAGTCCTGAACCCACCATTAACAAAACAAAGCAGACATAAAAGGGCAAGATACAGTGAACAAGACCCAAACATTTCTCAGTAATCAGGGTCAGCAG